ATATAGTTTCCAGAATCTTTTTCCTCAGTTTTCATATTTGATGAGTTAGCAACTTTGTACTACTCTTTCTCTCTCTTTAACTCTCTTTTTGAAGTTAATCTGGGGTTTTTATGGTTATTTGGTTTGCTTTGGGTTTTTTGGCCCCCCTCTGAGTTTAGGAACAGATAGGAGGCCAAAGCAATCTTTAGGATTCTCTAGGTTGTTTATAAATGTTGTTAATCTGAAAACATTCAGATCTGAGAGGGGAAAATATGGAATGGTGATGGGATAAACTGCAGCTGGGAATAATCAATGTACAGTTTCAGTTCACCCTTCCTGTCTCCAGCTCAGACTGTCTTAGTTTGAAGCTGGATGTTTGTGCAGTTTAGGGAATCTTCAGCAAGCTCTATTTGACATTATTGGTGCTATGACAAGAAGGATATGGAAGACCCAGTAGTGATGCTCTGTGTTGAGTACTGCTTTGTTTTGTCTACAGAAAGTGAGTGTGCTCTGACTTGATCTGCTTAAACTTTGATGAGAGATGTTTGCTGATTACAGCTCTTTCTGCTTAAAAAACTTAAATACTATGACAGAAATGATTTGCAGTTTCCTCTGTTATTATTTCTGGGGAAATGTGGATAAATTACAGCAAATAAGAAAAAATTCCCAACTGTAGGTAAAATGTCTGTAAACATACAAGGAAAATATTTTGCTCTATTTACACATAAAAGCAACTTCACAGTTGAAATTAACTCTTAATTAATAGGTATTTTACTGCAGTATTCTTTTGTGCATTTTTACTGGTGCCCTAGTTTTATGAAGCTCAGGAGTAGTCACATGAATATATTCTTGGATTTTCATCCAATATTGTTGCTAAGGAAACATCATCTTTAATACTGTATCCTTGTCTGCAGCTTGTCTGTATTAATCAATGCCTCTTAATGCTCAGCATAAACCAAGTAAAGATGAAAAAAAAAATCTTAATTTCTTTTATTATGGAGCAGTTCATGATAAACTATTCTCCTTCAGGATCCCCTGCCACTACAGACCTCACGCAAATTGGAGGGTCTTCTCCTTGTCTCTGGTCTTACTCCAGACACAGGATGGACAATTTTTATAGATGTTTTTTGGGTTTTGTTTTATTTGTTGTTTATTTTTTCTTTTTTTAATAGGCTGCCATTAATATTTAATATAATAATCTAACATAGGTATTGTAGAGTGAACGGGTCTGGTTGAAATGGGGGAAATGCTTACATACTGCTCTAAAAGGGACAAAGAACCTTTTCTGTATGAAATGAAAAAGATGAGCTTGAATGCCCTAAAGTGAGAAACATATCCCTTCTCAGTGCACTGTTAAAACTCCAATACTGTATTTCAGCCCAAATGGAATATCTATCTAGGAAAAGACCTGTCATTCAGACGTGTCAGTGGAAATGTCAGTTGTCTCCAAGTGCAGCTATTTGCTTTTGTTGCAATAATGACAGGCAGGTTTTTGAAATTTTCTGCTTGCGAATTCTTCTGAGAAGTACCAAATTTTATAACTAGTTTCAAAATGAATTTGACATGGCAGCTTCTTAGCCTAATACCTCCTTTGTTTCATGATCATGTTTGCCTTCTGGATGTGTTCTTACATATCTGCCTCTTCAGAGACACTGTGTTAGCTCTAACATCTGTTATTGCAAAGCCCAGGTCGGAAAGGCCGGAGGCAAAGAAGAAGGCCTGAAGAACTTGTCTGATTAGGAATATCTGTTTCCTTTTTTGGACAAGCAGCAATATCTCATTCATCAGCTTAGTCATCCTTCAAGGAAGAGGAAAGAAATCAGGCACCAGTTTACAGTCTAGTTGTGTGGGCTTAGATGCAAGCACAGTTTCAGCAGTCAAACCTGGATAGCAGCTCTCATTGCCAGGGCAGTAAAGGGAACATGAGTCTTCTCCTTGTGAGGGCAGAACTTCTCATGCCACTAAGAAATCTGCTTCTCCCTAAGAGAAGAAATGCAAGAAATATTTGTGAGGGAGTCAGTGTACTTAAGCCCAAAGATCCCACACCGACAGATTTGAAAGCTGCCTTAAGAGCTGAGCCACACTTAGGCTTTTCTGCCTGACCTCAGGTCCTGACTGGGTCAGTGGTAAGCAGCTCCTTCAGGTACCCTCCCAGGCGTTGTGTGCTATTAACACCTCTGTAGAGGTGTGTTGGAGGTCTTACCCAGGGCATCCAGAGACAATTCCAACTTACTGTGGGATCATCTAAGTGTCATTTTTGTATAGCAAATGTATATGGCTATTCATTTCTGGGCATCCATTCTAGTTATATTTTTCTTTCTGCACTATGAGGCTATTTACAATGCATTGCTCAGTACCGTTTTAATAATGGAAATTCCCAAATATGAGTTGTGATGCTTTTCCTCTAGAGGTTAGACCAAGATACTATATTTTTGTATAGTTGTTAAGTTGTTGAAAGGTTGTTAGCAATTTACTATAAAGACTGAAGTGATAGGAAAAGTACATTGATAATTCTACAGTGTTGTCTGTTGTGATTAAAATACATGCTTTGGATATTAATTTGTGCTGCTTTATCCCATACCAAGGAAGAGTTTGAGCTCGGTTGTTGATGCCAGTACTTTGCATTGTGATGCAAAAAGAGCTAATACTATGGCATTGCTATTAGTTATTTGCCATTTATTAATTAGTAAGGAATCCTCAAAATTCACCTAATATCCTTTAATTAAATTAGTTGGCACATGTGACTAGGACAGTGTTTTCCTGGCTCTTGGTAGTGCCTCTCTGTTGCATTGTGTTTCTCACCTCTGCTCTTTAGTTAAAAACATGCTAAGCTGATTTTTGGTTGCTGGAAAGTGTTTTGTAAGGTGTGGCATGGATGTGTTTTGTGTGTGTGTGTCCTGGGCGGTGCCTGAGTGCTTTTCAAAGTTGCAATTGTGGGGTGGTGTTCGCTTGTCTGAAATGCACAATACCAGTAGCACAACTAAGTACAGGGTCGAAGAGATCGGGAATCAGACATGACACTGCTGTGGTTTTCTCTTTTTTTCCTCTTAGCTTCTGTCTCCTTTTTTTCTTTTTTTCTTTTTTTTTTTTTTTTTCCCCTCCTTGCTTATTATTTTCGCTTCCTTTCTCAAATTTCTTTATTGCCCATGTGGTCTAATCTCTCCCTTTCTGTGGTGTCTAGTAAACACTAGATCATTTTGGATCCAGCATCTTCTCCCCCACCAGATGCTTTTCCTTTTCTCCCTGTGAGTACACCATCTACCTGTGTGTGCTCTGGGAGATGTGCAGGTGTTGGACAGGATTAGGTGACAGAACTGAAGTGAAATGTGATCAGTTTTGCCTGCCAGCTCTTTTCTGTGTTGTTTTTTAATTGTCAAATAGAGGAAGGGAATAACTAGAGAAATAACTCTGGAATTGAAGTGAGGCAAAGTGGGGAAATGTTGGTTGCTTGATCCCAGTGCTGAGGATAATGCAGAATAGCAAAGAACAGAAATTCCTGCAGAAAAATTGAAAGGTTCAGAGGCTTTTTACTGTTTGTAGAAACTTTGAAGTTAAAAGTTCCTTTCAGAGTTGTGCATGTAGAATTTGTCAAGCAATGTCAACCAACTGAATTGTTATATTAAGGCAGAAAAAATATGGAAGTGTATTGTGTACCGTAGTATGACTTCATAAAATGTTAAGCATCTTCTGATGTGGTTTTCTCATGCTCTTTTTGTATATAGAAAACATATACAACTTTTGAGTTAGGTTTCTTTTTTCCTGGTCATTTCCTGAGTAGCTTTAACCTTGCTATATCTTCTAGGTTTATAGACTCCCCTTGTCTCTACCCTTTGACCTTCATTTATCAAAATCTGTGTCCAGGTATAAGATCATCTTACCAGTGTCAAGTGCTCAACTTTTCTCCTTTTCAGGTGATTTTGAGAAGATAAATACATCTAATATGTGTTGTTAGTGGTTCTGTCCACCAGCCTCTCAAGATTATTCATTACCCTGTGAGTCATTAGGGGCGGAAATTTTTCAGCCAAATTAAGCAGCCAGCTTTGGAAAATTTTGTCTTCCTGATTTACATGTGGTATTTCTACATCATTTTGGACTTCTGTACCAGTCTGTGTAAAATGTCATCAAGTAACTTGCTTGGGTTTCTATTGGAATATATTCTAACTTTCCTCTATTATGAAATAGGAATCTCCAGACCTCATGTCCTCCCTTGCAGCTTGTTTGTGTAATCAAAACAAGAAAGCACCTTGCTGCCTAGCTTGCTTTCTAGCTTGGTCCCAGATTTGACAGAAAAATTGAGATGATCCTCAAATGGCCTTTGAAAGAATGAAATACAAGCAATCGGAAAAATATCTGCAATGTTAGAAATGCAGAAAGATAATACTTACTCAAAATCAGCTATTCCCAATTGTTCTATATTAAAATTAAGACATTTAAGATAATCTTCATTGTTCTTCAGTTTAGTCATCTGAAGTGTTGTCATCACATGTAGTCTAAGCTGGTCATGCTGTGACTTGCTGCACAATCAGTGGAGACACAGCTTCAGAAGGCAATTCAGTTCTCTCATCAAAAGGATGTCAAATAGTGTGTGGAATGAAGGACTTTCAGAGATGCATATCTCCCTTCATTGATGATAGATGTGTAGATAGTTAAACACATCTGTAGTCCATCGTTTGTATTTTTAAATGTAAAGGAGTAGAAAGGGAAAATGGGTGTTTCTCTTGGTGCTTGAAAATCTGACCTAATTTAATAAACTCTTTTGGAACAGGGGATTAATGGCTCTTCTGCAATTAGTTTAAATGTAGAAGGCTTGAAGGTTTAAATTCAAAGAAGATGGTGGTATGTACTATATTAAGGGAATTTTATAGCTCCTGTGGAATCTGTGATACAAAATGGCTTGTTAATAGCTCCTGCCAGTGGGAAAATACTGTAAAATCATTTTTTTAAGGAAAAATATTAATGCATCCAATAGGGCAAATGTAAAAGTTTCATGCAAAAATATTTTATATCTTTTTCTTTGTCAGCCTTGCTTTGCATCCTGAACGTGTGTTGGTGGCAACAGGTCAAGTTGGAAAAGAACCATACATCTGCGTGTGGGATTCATACACTGTGCAAACTGTGTCTGTTCTGAAAGATGTTCACACTCATGGTATAGCTTGCTTGGCCTTTGACTTAGATGGTCAGGTATGTAATTAATATTCTTCTTTCAAACACTGGAATAAATGGTTTATTTGTTAGAAATGTTGCCATTTAGCTCTTTCTTTTCTTAAGAAAGTGTTTTATCTCAGGGTTTATCTGCTTATTCTCAAGCTGAGGAAGCTAAAATGACATTACTAGTGAAAGACAAATATTCACATTTGGCAAGAAAAGTATAACTTCAAAAGAGTTTTGAATGAAGATGAGTTGACAGGGAGTTTCTTTTGGTCTGTGGGCAGTGGTTTAGGGTCAGACCACATCACTGGACATAGTGAACTCCTCCTGTGCAGTGGCATGTCTAGTGCACAGTGGTGGCAGTCCCGTTGTGATACTCATCTTGGACTTTGAATGCTTTCAGGCAGTATCCCCTTCTCTCTCATGCATTTTGCATGCACTGGTGGCTCTCCACATTTTGGTTGTTTGTTCAGACTCATGTATCCTGCATCTAAGTGTCAACAAAAAGGTTTTCTTGAATTATAATTTTGTTACTTTTAAACATTTTCTGAGCGGTGAATTGGTTCTCAGAGCTGCTACTTACAATGGAGATAATTTTTAGCAGACACTTCCTCCTGTGAGGAAAGAGGCTTTCTTGATTGATGTATTAGAAACAGAAAATACACATAGGTAGCAGCTGAAGAGGTATTAACTGTGAAAGTCCTTTCTGCAGTTGTGCTTTCATGGTCTATGAAACGCTTCTTTCCCTCCCACTCAGCCTTGCAGTGTGATGTTCAGATTTAGCTATATTGTCAGATCCTTTTGCTCGCTAAAAAGATCAGTATCTGTTAGTTACTACTGCTTTCTCAAGTTAGGATGTATTGTGGAGACCAATTGCTGTCCTTATTGAGAGAATATGAAATGGTTCTCTATTGAACACAAATGAAGGAAAGACTAGCTGTAACTTGTTTCTCTTAAAACATGTTGTGATTCCTTAATAATTTTAGGTCATGATGTATCAAATTAGGATTGAAGTCCCCTAACTTTTTTAAAATGCAGTTAGGCATCCCCTGTGTGTACTGGAGAGTTTTGAATCTGTGGTTTGTTCTAGCAGTACTGATTCTTATGTTTAAAGTCATAAATGAACAGAATTCAGGCTGTCTTGTCTGCTTTTCTCAGTTTTTCCATATGGTCACCTTTTTCATTGCATTATTTAAAATTTTGTGGTCTCAAAGGAACTCTGGATACAGGTTTTTCAAGACCTGCATCTCCAGCATTATGTCCGTATGGAACTCATTGCCCTCTTCAAAATTCTGTATTTTATTAGTTGTTCAGTTTTTATACGTCTTCTCGGGCTGTGCAGCCCACACACACTCCTTCTCACCCCCCCTGGTCTGCCCAGCTCAGGAGGACATTACTTTTCCTTATTGTCCTTTGTTAATTGTCTTGGGGAACCTGATGATTCACTGGTGCAGCTATGTTAGCTAAGCTCAAGGTTACCCTCCAGTCTCCTTGGTGTTCCCCAAGTTTGCTGGTTTTGTTGCTCTTCTCTGAGCTCTACTCCGGTGTGAGGGTGTGTTCATTAGTAGCAAGATTTTCTAGTTCTTAGGAGAACCAAGAATATTGTTTAATCTCTATTTCTGAGAAGTCAGCGTAAAGAAATGTGGTTAATATTTCACCCACATTTTGTGATGGGTGTGCAGCAACTGTAAAACTAGTCTGCACTTATAAGTCTCATTCTGAACCACTGAACTGTTTGGAAGTGTAGGTGGAATTAAAACTAATATTCCTTCTGGCAGTGTTTACAAAGATGGAATAAAAATGTTAGACTTTGTAGTATTAATAAATAGGAAGCGTGGATAGAAATTGTATTTAACTTGTTTCTTTTTCTTCTCATAGTCTTGGAGCTTTTCAGACAGTAAAGAAATTATGTTATTGCAAATACATTTCTATCTCTGGGGAAAAAATTACTCAAGTTTGAGGTTTGCTTTTACTAACTATTTGATAATCTATATAGAAATTGAAAGTAAATTTGTCTTTAATGTGTGTAGGTATTAACTTTTGAACAGTGAAAAAATCTTTGCCTAATGATTTGCAAAACTTTCATTTGCCTACATTGAGATGTCAAAATTCATGCATAAGCTGAACAAAAAGACTTAATTTTCATAGTTTCATAGCATGTTAAGGGTTTGGAATGGACCTTAGAGATCATCTAGTCCCAGTCCCTCCTGCCATGGGCAGGGACACCTCCCACTAGACCAGGTTGCTTGAAGTCCCATCCAACCTGGCTGTGAACACTGCCAGAGTTGGGACATCCACAGCCTCCCTGGGCAACCTGTGCCAGTGTCTCACCACCCTCACATAAAAAACTTTCTCCATAACATCTAGTCTAAATTTCTCCTCTTTTAATTGATACCCATTACTCCTTGTCCTATCACTACAGTTCCTAACAAAGATTCCCTCTCCAGCTTCCCTATAGGCCCCCTTCAGATACTGGAAGATTGCTATGAGATCCTCACACAACCTTCTCCAGTCTGAACAGCCCCAGCTTGCTCAACCTGTCTTCATAGGGAAGGTGCTCTAGTCCTCTTATCAGCTTTGTGACCTCTTCTGGACTTGCTCCAACAGTTCCATGTCCTTCTTATGTTGGGGACACCAGAACTGTATGCCATACTCCAGGTGGGGCCTCATGAGAGCAGAGTAGAGGGAAAGAATCACTTTGGTCTTGCTGACCACACTCCTTTTGATACAGTGCACAACTCGGTTGATTTTCTGGGCTGAGAGTGCACACAGCAACTCATGTTGAGTTTTTCATCAACTGTCACCCCCAGGTCCTTTTCCTTAGTGCTGCTCTTAATTACTTCTCTGCCTAGCCTGTAGGTGTGTCTGGGTTTGCCATGACCCAGGTGTAGGACCTTGCACTTCACTTTGTTGTTTTCTTTCAAAACAAAACTCAAATTCCCTCAGCTTTTCAGTATGGAAAATAAAATTTTGACTGGTTAACAGATAGAGTAAAACCGGGCTGTTGGCTAATATGGTCAGTGGTTTGTGTTAAGAAATATGTGCAAGGTATCTTCATAGCTGAAGACAAGACAGGCTGCAGAGCATGGGAAAATCTCAAGCTTTGACTTTTCTGGAACCATTTTTTTGTCCTTCCTGGTTTTACAGTTTAACTGGCTTTAAGCTATTTCTGAGCATTAAAGGCATGTTTGGGGTCTCATTGGATTCTGGTTTGAGAAAGGATTCAGAAAGAAATAATTACTCATACATGTCTTGAAAAATCAAGCAAAAGACTTCAAAAGCTCTTTAATTTGTTTACTCTTTTGTTTCCAAGACGATTGAAGAAAATATTTTTCTTTGTTTCTCCTAAATTGGTAAAATAAATCCATAACTTTTGCAAGTTGCATGTAATTAAACACGTATAGTCTCATTAATTTCAGTAATTGTTTCTTTTCTGCAAATGTCTCCTGGCTGCTGCTTGCCATGTATGCTGTATATAGGTATATATATTAAACATTATAAATCAGAAAGATGTTGGTATCTGAGATCTTCATAACTGGAAAGATGCATCTATGGAAGTTTTGGTATAAGATGTAGCTTATGTTTTGTTATATATCAAAGTGTAGCTATTGCTTCTTACTCAAATGTGTTATGAATTTTTTATCATTCATTCAGAAAGATGACTTTAGCTTTCCTTAATATATTGGGTTGTTTATAGTTGTTTGTTTAATTTGGACATTTTTAGCGTTTGGTCTCGGTTGGTTTGGATTCGAAAAACACAGTTTGTGTATGGGACTGGAGAAAAGGAAAATTGTTATCAATGGCTCCTGGTCATACAGACAGAGTGAGTATAACTGAAGAGTTTAAGCATCTGTGTAATTTTAGGTTGTTAAACCATATCTGTGTTTACACACAGAGCTAGAGCTGTGTCTGAAGAAAAGCATCTTATGTTTCGGAAATTGAATTTGCATAAAGCTTAGATAAGATATGTGAACATATTTAAGATATGTGCATTTGTTTCTAAAATAAGATGAATAACTCAACGTTTATTTGTGTACAGTTTGTTGAAACTCTAAGCATGCAGGGGAGGTGCAGAATTAATATGCTTCCTAGACTTTAATCCCCATATGGGAAATCAAAATGCAAATAATTGCTTGAATTTTTCTAGCCTGTGAATTAGCTTTAATGTTTTTTTTTTGTCATGTGTTTTAATTACTCTAGGGGAAAGACCCCAGAAGTAATATGAGATATACATTGCGATTTCGGTATTGAATGAGAGGCTAAAAAAGTTATTCCAATAGATCCATTTAAATCACCTCAGACTCTGCGTTAACTTGCTGCATGTTTTTACTGTTTTAACTGTCCCATGCTAGAAAGGCCATCTCTGCTGACATCCTTGGGTGTTTTTATGCAGATATTTGATATTTCTTGGGATTTGTACCAGCCAAACAAGCTCGTCAGCTGTGGCGTAAAACACATCAAGGTAATGAAATAAATGTTAACTCATACAAAATTTAAGCTGCAGTAGTATATAATCTATAAAATTGATGAAAATAGGTTCTGAAGGAAATATACAGTGATAATGTGAAAGGTCTCTGTAAGAATAATACTTCTTAGGAGCTACGATTATGGATCACACCTGACTATACTAGACATCTTACAGGATACATATATTGGAAAACAGATCCTCTCTGCTCAAAAGATTTCATGCCCTGACAGAAGGAATGAAACAGTTGTCAGTAATATTGTATGTAATGATTGTAATACAATTTAAAAATTAGGTTGTCCAAAACATGCTGTTTGAAATCCCAAGCAGCGTAAGACACATTTAAGGTGAGTCCAGGTATTCAAGTTTCTGATTCTCAAGCAGTGAATGAACTGTTGCACTACAGAGGTGAATTTAGTTGAAAAAACATTTTCTTTCCATTTGAGAGAGTATTTCCCTGCTGTTATTTGTACCTTTGTCATTTTGAGCACTCTGTACCTCTTACAGGATTCGTAACTTAGACAGCTCATGTCTTTTTCAAGCAAGCTTTGTTTGATCCATGTACCAGCTGCTGTGTAGAAACAGCTTTTTTTCCAGGTTTAACTCTGTCAGCAGGATTATCAATGATTGACTGCCCTGAAATATGGTACATAAAGTCACTGCCTTCTGGCATGCACATTCTTCTGTGTTACCATGGAACAGCAGTAGATGGCAGCTTCAAAGTTCTGTATTGCTCTTATGTGTAGGTTCCCGTGGTGGGGAAAATGTGTTGCTTTTATACAGCGAACTTTTAGATTAATATGTATTAAAGGTTTATTAGAAAAAGTCTTTAATCTGTTGGCTAGATTGCATAGGTCATTGATAGTGGTCAGCGTGTCAGTTACAGATCTCCATTAGGTTGGTTAATAGTGATATTTTTCTCCTCTTCAAGATCTAAGAGAACCTTTATGTCAATAGTGAGCTAATATTTGCCAGCAGTGATTTAGTCTATTTACGATGGGTTTATGATGCCAAAACATATCTATTTAGATAAATGAAAGTTTATTTGAGCAACTCGAGCAATATGACATATTTTTAAATAAGAATATTATTTAAAAAATAATTGGTGTTTACTTTGAGAAAACATTAAGTAAAAATCTGAATTCTAGAGATTTATGGGCATTTGGATCAGGCAAGAGATTTTTTGTAGATGTGTATTTTTCTTAAACCATACCTTCTTGTTCTTTCAGATAGCAGTAATTACTTTCATGTTTTTAATAGTATTTTATTTTTTCCTCACATGATATTTTATGCAAATTGTAATACTACTTAACCAAGTTATGTAGATAATTCCAAGTGAACTGATATTGAGGAATTGCTTTTCTTAGAAACATCACCTGCTTCCACACTGGGCCTAGGTGTGTGATTTATGCAGTGATTGTGGGATTACTTTTTGAGTAACAACATAATCTATGACCTGTATACTTTGGTTAAAGAAATACTGGTGTCAATCCTGTATGCACACAAGCAAAGCAGAACAAAGAATTGATTCACTGCTTCCCATGGGCAGGAGGTGTTCAGCATCTCCAGGAGAGCAGGGCCCCAGTACTGTACCGGTTACTTGGGAAGACAAGCACCATCACTGCAGATGTCCGCCCTTCCTCCTTAATCTATGACCTGTATACTTTGGTTAAAGAAATACTGGTGTCAATCCTGTATGCACACAAGCAAAGCAGAACAAAGAATTGATTCACTGCTTCCCATGGGCAGGAGGTGTTCAGCATCTCCAGGAGAGCAGGGCCCCAGTACTGTACCGGTTACTTGGGAAGACAAGCACCATCACTGCAGATGTCCGCCCTTCCTCCTTATTCTTCCCACTTTATATACTGGATGTCCTATGAGTAACAACATAATCTATGACCTGTATACTTTGGTTAAAGAAATACTGGTGTCAATCCTGTATGCACACAAGCAAAGCAGAACAAAGAATTGATTCACTGCTTCCCATGGGCAGGAGGTGTTCAGCATCTCCAGGAGAGCAGGGCCCCAGTACTGTACCGGTTACTTGGGAAGACAAGCACCATCACTGCAGATGTCCGCCCTTCCTCCTTATTCTTCCCACTTTATATACTGAGCATGATGTCCTATGGTATGGAATGTCCCTTTGGTCAGTTTGGGTCACCTGTCCCAGCTGTGTCTCCTCCCAGTCTCCTATGCACCCCCAACTTCCAGTGTGGCAGTATAGGAAGCAGCAAAGGCCTTGGCTCTGTGTGAACTCTGCTCAACAACAACAAAAACATCTCTGCGTTATCAACCCTGTGCCCTTCAGCAGCTTTTTGACTTTCCAGTGCACATTTACATGTTTGGACAGGAGGGTTTGAAAAGAATGTGCAAGTGCTTCTTGTCTGCAGAGATCTCAGAAACTATAGTTTGTATCTGGAGATTTCATTGGCCAGGATTGTGCTTTGACAAGAGACTTTGCATGTCTTTAGGAGTCATCAGTACAAATTGATTCACCTAGTAGGTAATGCATTCTCATGTGATTGCTGTAATCACATACTAATGGTTTATTAAAAGTTCTTTAAAATGTCCCCCTTAGATGGCTGCTTGGCATGGTCTGTGGTTCTGATGAGAAATTATAAGTCTATAATAAAACCAGTTGCTTTCAAACAGAGCAAACAGCAGCTTTATCCAAAATTTACATGCTTAGATTGCATCTTTTAAATGCCTAAAGTCACATAAAGTACAAATGGAGCATTTGCAATGTGGAAGTCTTGCATTAAAGAAAGATAAGATCATTCTATTATAAAACGCTTTAACAAATGACTAACATTACAACTGACTCACTAGTTATTACTTGAAAGAATTTTAGTTTGATTTAATACAGATACACTGAAATTCCTTCCCAACTAGTCTGCTATACTGATTTTATGGAAAGATAATGTTGGTTAATAACACTAAAAGTTGTTCAACAACTGGAGACCTGAAGCAAGGAAAAGGGTATGAATGATGATGCCTTTTGCAGGCAAAGGTACTTTTTCAGGTGTATGTATTAAGTTATAGGATATTAACAAAATACCTGTCTTTCTAAATCACTTTATATTGCAGTTCTGGAGCTTGTGTGGCAATTCATTGACACCAAAACGTGGTGTTTTTGGCAAAACTGGTGATCTCCAGACAATACTGTGCCTCGCCTGTGCAAGGGATGAAGTGACGTATTCTGGTGCGTTGAATGGAGATATATACGTATGGAAAGGAATCAACCTTGTGCGGACAATACAGGGAGCACATGCTGTAAGTATCTCTCCTCAAATTGATAAAAAATGTTGAAGAGATTTCTGGAGAGCTGGAAAGGGCAAGGCAAGGTCACCTTGTCTGTGTTCCTGATCAGTTTCAGCGATGGAGACTCAGTATGTCTTATTTGAATACTTCTTAGAACAGGATACAGCTTTGAAAAGTGAGGACATCTCAGAGAAAGTTTAATAAAGTTTTTCAAAAGTGCTTGGTAAGATTTTATTTTAATCAAAATGTTTAAAGCCGCTGTAAAGTGATTATAATTTTGCTATGTAAGTTTTAATTACTTTTTCCATGTTATTGCAAAGCGTATGGGTTTGGGATTAAAGTAGGCATCAGAAAAAATTTGCAACGTGGTTTGTGGACGCCAAACTGTGAGACTGCTCATTTCCTCTCATGGTAGTAAGTTGGTAGTATAATGCAAGATTTAACTTGTAATTTGTCCAAGTGAAAACAAAACCAACCAATTTCTGGTTGTTTTAACCTACAAGGAACTGCTAAGGTAACTATGAAGGTGTGTGATTTGCTGGTTGAATGTTAATTTTTGTTTTGGAAAGCATTGTACTTTCTAGAAAACGTTTGAAGTTCCCTTATTAGCAATTTGCAATAGTATGAAAATACAAGCATAGGAGTTCCTGTATTGCAGGTTTGAAATTCTAGGTAAAAATCAGTAACAATTATTCTTTCTTGTTTTAACTGGCAGTGTTGGACTGGGTGTGATGATGTTGGTAACTGACGTATAAGAGTCACTCTTAATGATCTCATCAGGTAGACTAGAGGGGACAAAGTGATGAGTGGTATGTGTGTGGGAGAGGCTGCAGTCACTCATAGTAAGGAAACTATTGATTTACTGAAGATTTGGAAACACATTCTGAGTGCTGCAGCTTGTTGAATGGACTCGTAAGGTAGAAGTGACTGGACTGCTTATTCAGACAGGTGTATAATGACAGTGGATCTGATTGTGAGCAAAAATAAAGTTACGACGATCATATGTGTGTGAAACAGATCCCAGACTATATTATTCTTTCACGATTTTTTTTATATACTTAGATCCGTGTGTATGTATATATATATATCTGGAAAATCTGTAGGTACATACACACAAGCATACCTTCCTGCATGCATCTCTAGAGATAAAAAATGTGTTCTAGAAGGCCCAATTTATAAATCAGGAAGTATGAGGGGAAATTTAAACCTTCAGATCTTCCCTGATTCTTCCTCTGTACCTTGTGATCTGCTTTGAGGCTTCATATTTAGCGTCCAATAGTGTGCTGTTCTGTTCTGTGTTTTGCTGAGGTGACAGGGACATTGCATATGCAGACCTGAATTCCCAGAGGAAAACATGCACTTTGTCTCCTCCCCAAAACTGATGGGAACATATTCTCCCATTCTGTTTGGTGGTGTAGGACACAGCTGTCCTGCAGATCAACATACTTGTTACTTGGAGTTTTTGGAATTGCAACAGTTTTTTTCTCAGAATAATGCAGTGCTGTTCACCTGTTTCAATGTGAAATGACAGAACATATAAATGTAGGGTGATGAGAACTTGTTGCTCTGTTACCTTATGTGCTGTGTCAGATCATTGGTGACCACAAGATCAAATTTGAAGTGCTCTGCTCCTTATCTTCATTAACATCAGTGGACAGAGCTCAGGTGACCTTGGAGTGTAGGTCTCATTTAGCCTTCTATTTTTGGCTCTGTCCTCTAGGCTCAATGGAATTGTACTTTGCAGCACTGAAAATTAGGCAGGGACACTAGTCCATGTCTTTGAAATTAATTTTTACAAGAGATTAGAGTCACTACAAATCTCACCAATTTCAGGGGAAAAAACTCAGTAAAATCTGGTGGCTTACTTTCCAACAAAATGAAACCTCGTTTCTCAATAAAATGTTAGCTTAAAGGATAATATTGTCAGACTATTCTAAGCACAACATATAGCAGCTTGGAATGAGAGTGCCCCTTCAGCCATACTGAAGTAGGATCATGATTTTTACAGCAATTTTGTACTTAATTTTATAAATGATGTCTTTTTTCCCCATTCTTTTAAAAGAAAATGCAAGTGTAAATGATAACATTTGTGATGTGCATATGTTCTTAAAAGCACATTGTGCACAGAGTAGGGAATGGATATAAACTTCTGTTCAGTTTGCTAGTTTGGAATTGTCATCCCTGTATGCCTGGTTATCATCCTGCATCATTACTCAACAGGCTTGAAGTAAACTGTAAATGTATTGAAGGAAAACATGTCTCATTATTTGCATAAATACCATGTATTCCTTTCTTGCAGCACAAACAGTAGATGTCTGAGATGCTGGAAAACATTAGAGATGTGGGGATATAGTCCATCCCCACAATTATTAAGTTAATACGAAGGCAGTTGTCTACATTAATATAGCAAATGTGTTCTATTCAAAGTTTGGCTATCTTTGTTCACTTACTCCAACTAAAAAGACATTTTTTGTTTTAAGAATCATCCAAGGTGAAAATTAAACCATGTTGTCCCAGTATAAGCAACCAAGGAAACAACAACTGTAGCACTAACAAGCAAAATAAGAGTTCTTAGTTAAGCCAGATTATCTGTCTTCTGTCACAGCAATGCTAACAACTGTAGACAGAGGAAAGTAGAGTTTCCTGCAGCTTCCTATCTGAGTTTGAGTAGAAACAATGTTGAAAGCAAATGAGCTGAGATGACTGGAGAATTAGCTGGAAGAGGATTGGTGAGTTCACTTAATATAGAAGTAGGAATGAAAAGTAGGGGAAGATGGAAACGAGCAGGGCTTAGGAGTAAAGGCACAGAGTTCATGTGCAGGGTACACTGGATAGCAATGGGAAACTCCAATTTTAGTTTTCCTGATCACTCCTAAATAATAATACTAATAGTGAAAGTTTTAAAATGGAGAACGAAAATAGCAACATGAAAGGAGGTGTAAGTTCATTGGCCCTGGTAGTACTCCAGGAGGTTGTTTGTAGGCAAAGCATCTAATTCTGGAAAGTTAATATACACCTTGACTAATTAAAAAATAATCATTTAATAGATGTCTCATTCGTGTACCAGAGCAAAGAACAGACTGTAGAATCTTCTACTTATTTTATCATTTTACATGTTGTAAATGAAAGGTAGTCCATGTTTATTAAGATCTCTATATAAGATCTTACTCAGATATTAAACCAAAGTTATATGCTTATTTAAAAACATCTTCAAGATTCTTGGGTGCTATGCCTTTGCCTTGCATAGTAAATGTACATAAGATGCTTTCTCAACAGATGAATAATTAATTTTGAGATAGTCTTTCAGAGGTACACATTAAAGTTGTGTGGATTGATGTCAGAAACTGAGGTTAAATAACAAGCTCGAGGTTAAATAACAGGCACTCTGTTAAAACTATTGCACGCCTATGTCAGTTGGCTGGATACTAATTAAATATAGATGGAAACAATATAATGAACTTAAATGAATGGTTTTAAGCTGGTGTCATGTGCCAACACATTAAGTCTTGCAGTATTTTCTCTTACTGCTTAGACTAGTCATTGATTTGAAAGGTAACTGTCCACTTGTTTGGTCAATGAGAGGTATATAGACAACTATTTAAAATTTTTATAGTAATATAGACATTTTGAAGCTGTTTTGTGGCTGATTTGTTAGATAGGAAGATTAAATTTCACAGTAATGTCTCCACTGTAAACTCACTGACACCTATCTCGAATGTTTGCAATCCATTTCCTTTCTACACAGTAGAGGAGACACAATGGCTTAGAGTAAGTGCCCAATATATGTGTTGCTTTACATGTTAGCACCTATGTCCTGTGTTGTATCTGGAAGTAAAAAGGAGGTACTGGAGTTCTTTTTGAATTGATATAATACCTCTGTTCTCCGTGTAGCTCAGTAGTAGTCAGTTGCTTCTGAAGTTTCCATATGATCTTTCGAGCTTGGTCCTAATTATAGCTAACTGCAGTCATGTGTTTTAGGATTTGCAAAGTCAGAGTTAGTGTGATGATTTTTATATAAATGACTGACTTTAGATAAGTTAACACTTGACTTTTGTCCACTGGGGACACGATGGGTCCATCAGCAATAGAAAACCCGAATCTACCTCAGTATTGGAAACTTTCCGGATACAAGCGGTGGCAAAAAATTCGTGCAGTGGAGACTGTCTTTGTCAAGTTGTTCCTCTACTTACCCAGCTTTCAACCATAATTTGTGGTAGATCTGGGCACTTATTTCTTTGTTTGCTCTCACTCCACTTTTTTTCAGAATTTGAGGGAACACAGATGTGATACCAGCTGGTTTCGTTGGAAAAACAGGAACTATTCGGTGTTCTGAGAAAGCTGCTGATCAGTTTGATATGTTATTTCCAGAATTTTCAAGTTCATTAGGAAGTGTAATGAAAAATTTAGAAAAGAATGCAATCTGTATGTCAAGCTTCTTTACTTTTAAGATGGAACATTTTGATCTACACCTTTTATTTTGATTGAGAAGCACTGTCAGTCTTCATGGCTCACATTCAATTGGCTCTAACAGGGCAACTGTTTGCCTCTCATTACTGCTAGAAGGCTTTGGATCATCAAGAATCAAATTATGTTAATGAGAATTTCAGGCTGAAGGATTAGAAGTATGAAGACTTCTGAGTTGATTTGCATTAACAATCTTGACAGTTTCTATAAGGATGGATTTAGTGGAGGAATTATGACTGTCCAAGCTAGCCCAGTAAAGAATCTGTCGTCTCCCCATTAAGCATGACCCCAACAATTATATGAAGAGTAGCAAAGCTCAGCTTCTTCCATTAGGTACTTGCAGTCCCTGTTAATAAGGGACCTTTTTTATAGTTTTCATCTAATTCTTTTATTCCAGTGGCACAGAGACTGAAACGAGAGTGTCCTATTGCATTTCAAGAGATTGAGCAAGCACAACATCTGCCAAATCTCCTTGACAACCAGTATGTCCTTTTCAAGATAAGGATATTCTGTGAAATGGAAAACAGATTAATGCTGGATCCACTTGATCTTCAGAACATTCAGCCAGCTTCCCACATCACCAAATGTCTGATTGTTTTTTTAATACTGACTAATTAAATCATGGATTGTGGAAAGAGTTAATTAGAGAAAAGATAATAATTCTATTATCAAGGTTGCCTTTCAAAAAGAGCTTTAAAAGATTTTAACTTGGGCAGAATTCAGTATATGGTACAAAATGAGCCAAACTTCCTCTAGACTTTTATTAGTTCCATGACACAATAATTGTAGAACCATTAAGGTTGGAAAAGACCTCCAAGTTCGTAGAGTCCAAGTGTTAACCCAGATCACTGTGTTCACCACTAAACCCTATCCCCAGTGTTTTTGGAACACTTCCAGGAATGATCACTCCCACTTTCCTGGGCAGTCTGTTCCAATGCCTGTCAGCCTTTTCAGTGAAGAATTTTTTCCAGCTATCCAATCTAAACCTTCTCTGGTGCAATTTGAGTCCATTTCCTCTTGACCTGTCACTTGTTAGCCTGGGTGAGGAGACTGACCCCCACCTGGCTACAGCCTCCTTTCACGCAGTTGTAGAGAGCGATAAGGTCTCCCCTGAGACTCCTTTTCTGCAGGCTAAACAACCCTAGTTCCCTGAGCCTCTCCTCATAGGACTTGTTCTCACAACAGTAAAGGTTAATGCAGTAAACCAGACAGAGATACATGGAGAGAAACAAACACAGTTTGTGTTGTATTTTCGAAAATCTCTAGGCTCCTAAAGAAACAGAAAGAGGATTTTCAGGATGCTAGAGATAATGGGAGCTAGCCTTCTAATCTGCTTAGGACTTAAAAATTCCACTACATTTCTGTTTAGGCACGTACTGCTCCTGAAAATGTGGCTTGTCACAAAAGGCTATTTCCTGAGGATGGACATGACATGTAAAAAATTTGAGTTCTGTCACCCTAATCTTTCAGTTTCGATTGTCATTTGACGTTCTAGTAATGAGAGGCTTTTTTTTGGTGTAAGCTGAGAGGTTTTTTTTTCTTAATTTGAAAAATTGTATCTTTGTTACCTGATGCTATAGAAGCAAACACAGTCCATATTTCATTATGACTAGTCAATTATGATGTTTTTCTTAGTTATAATTTAAGAGAAGAAAACGTTGGCAGGAGAGAATAATCATGAGTGCCTCGGAATTCTCACAAGTCACAGTACTGTATCCTAATTTGTTCTGTGAGTGTGCAGCTTTGTTTTCTCCCAAAAGTCAACCTTTCCTTTGCAAATTCCATTCATCTTTGGGGTTAATGTGCTTCATTGCTCCAAAATCCAGACCCTTAACCAAAGAAATTACTGGAACTTTGCATTTACTTCTTTACAAACCTGAAATTTCAGAACAGTATTATAGAAGATATATGTATATTATTGGCTGTTCTACCTTCCTTTTGACATGACTTAGAGACAGGTTTCCTCTTCTGTCATTTCTAATGCTCTCTTTTTAACTTCTCATAGGCTTATAAGGTACAGTTGCCCTTTCAGTAGCTTTGCTTACTGAAATGTGGGAGCTGCTTTAAACATAAGACTAGTGAGTTGTGTAGGTAATTAAAAAAAACCTCAACAGTGTGTATGATATTTAGTGTGTATGATATTTCATGTTAAATCAAATATAGTGACTATGTGGCTACAATATCTTTATTTAAATACTTGCCTCTTTGTTGTCCTGAAGAAAACATGTATCAAGTGAGTTGTAGAAGATGTGTTAGGTTTTGTTTCCTGATGTTCCCCTTGAAAATATGGGCTTATATTATGTTTTTTTTAATGGTGTAGAGTGATCACGGAGTTTCTTATATTTCGTTTCTAAACGTAAATTTTAAATCAATCTTCCTTGTCTTAAAATGTAAAAAAAAATCCCGCATTTTTTTACCTCGTTGTGTAGAAGCTGAGTAATAACAATAAAGGCCGTGAACCAAACCTAATGGAGATCACTGGAGATCTTTCTGCTGACATTTGTTGCACCAGGTCCTAAGGCAAGAGGATATGAAATTCAGCTTTTTCTAGGGATGAGAAGCAGCATCAGTATGATGATGATCATCAGGATGAAAGCATTCTTGCAACACTTGTCACTGAATGTGAATTCTGCTCCCTTTGAGTTTGTTGCCATTTCTGACTGGCATTTCAAGTTTGTGTTAGTTGCACATTGGTTTCTCTAAGCTGTGTATATTGTTAAAAATAACTTTCTTCTTTCTTTAGGCAGGAATTTTCAGTATGAATGCGTGTGAAGAGGGGTTTGCCACTGGTGGCAGGGATGGCTGTGTTCGCTTGTGGGACTTAAGTTTTAAACCAATTACTGTGATTGATCTCAGGGAAACAGACCAGGGATATAAAGGTAAACAGAAGTTTGTCACTTTTGATATACCAATAAGGTAGGAATTTTCAATGTTTTGAACAAGAAAAGGCTTAAAAAACCCAAAAAGGTTGTTTCATGTAACATTACTGTGAACTGTTTGCTAGCAGTAGAATAGATCATACCCACTGATATGAAGGTCACACAGTCTTTCAAAGTTACTGTGAAGCATACAATGAAGCTGTAGACAAAAATTTAATTTTTTATGCACATTGTTTCTAGAGCACAGCAGTTTTTTACAAGGGGCAGTAATGCTTTAAGTGAACTTGGAAGAAACAGTGAAATCTACCATGTAAAAGAAAGGAGTAGAAAAATTGGGTTTGCTAGTTATCCACATTTTCATTAAAACTATTTTGAAGTTATCTACAGTTGTGTAGTACTTGGAACACTGATCACATATACCTATATGCCATGCTAAAATTTTACATAGAGTGTTCCAGAGATTGTTGCTGTAATGATTTAGGAAAAGAATACAAGCATATACTGAAGTACTAATGTCACTTACCATTTTACTTTTCTTGGCATTTGGTTTTCTTTGCCCCCAGTCACTTTGTTATTTTCTGCTATCTTGCCAAGAATTTGAACATCTGATGGCAATCAGATACTCAGGGTCAATACATAACTGATTACAAGTTAAGTCTTTGTGTGCTGTAATTGACTTGGCATTCCCACCAAGATTATGAATTATTGCAGCAAGATGGAATACATTGCATTTTAAATATGCCCTGCAGTACACTGGCTCTGTTTTAGATTTAAATTTACTCAGTTGCTGTTTCTCAGCTCTGTAACGTGTGGCTGAAAGATGTTTCATTCCCTCTTTCATTCTTTCAAACTTGTTCTCCACTCAGGTTGTCTCCTTTACTTTTGAGGTAACAGGCTCTTGCCATGAATTATTTTGTCTTGTCAAATGCCCATGACAGAGATAATATGTATTTAAAAATCTTGTCTAGAATAAAATCAGTTTCCTGCCTTTTTTCCCCTCCACTTTTTCCTTCTTGTATACTTTTGAGGATTGCCTTTATGATCTCTCCTTTTACTCATTTTCTTAATTGCATTCTCTGCTGCTCCTACACCTTATCTCTTGGTAATTTTATCTGTGAACATGAACTTAAGTTCTGTGTCCTTGTGAGTGCCTCACAGCAATTAGCTGACTCTTCAGGTAGACACATTGTATTTCAAAATGTCTCATTCCAGCACAGCAAGAAGTTCCAAGTTACTGAAACAGATGTCTTAATCATCCTTTATGAAAGATTCTGCTTGGTTGTTTATTTGTAATCACTGTAGAGTGTATAGCCATATAATGTCTAAATGATAGGACTGTATGGTAAGGTGGTTATATCGACCAGTGCAATCAACAGATAACACCTGTAAAACAAAACAGGTGGTGTGGGGTTTAGAGTAGCACAATATATATCATTCTGAGGGGCATTGACTCTGGTGTGCTTCCACAGACTGAACATCGCATTGCAGTTGGAGTGCCGTGAGTGCACTCCTGGGGCACACTGTTGTGTTTCATGTGGAGGCAGCCTTATTTGTGCATTTGAAGGCTGTCTTGAAATGCAAAGCATGGTAAGAAGGTGCAGTCAGGAGCTTTGCTCTGAGAGCTAGCTTTGTCAGGATTAAAACATCCGTGCAGATGCACCAAGACAGCCCTGCTAACCCACCATTCACTGTTTGCAAGTCCTGCTGGTTTTTTCCAATGTCAATTTAATAACATGAGGCTCTTCTTTTCCCTCTGCATAGGTAAAAATATTTTTAGAAGCATTACAATATTCCTTTCTCTTATCTGACAGATGTAATTTTGTCTCACATATTAATCCAGACTAGGTTTTCAAAGATTGTTCTTGAGCTACTCTCCACAAGAGTCAGTGCTTAGGCAAAGTGAGTTAAGTTAGGCATTGCTGCTGTCTGGTCATGGGTACTTCACATTGGCAAAATTGAGTTGCACTCTCAGAATGTAATAAATACAGCCTGTTTTAAAACGTGCATGTTCCTTCAATTGGGCACTAGTTTAGCAGTATAAACTGTCCTTGCATTTTATTATTCCCAACCTCATCTACAAACAAGACCTGTGAGTTCTTACCTCCACTATAAGCCTAGAAGCTAATTCAGTTGTCGGAAATGCATGTTAAATTCCATCATAAAACCTTTTCATCTCTCTCTATATTGTTTCACTTTGATTTATTGTTATTTACTCTTTAGTAATTCGATATGCCATTAAGATGTTACAAAGAATTGGGCTCTTTGACTGTCTTACATATAATTCTTCTTCCACTGATGCTTCTGTCACATAATTTAGGGTCACCTTGCTAGTACTAAGGTCCATTTATATTCTCTGCTGCTTTTGTTGAAATTTAAGACATTAAAGACATAATTTCAGATGCAAATGTCAGTACTATATTTGTCCTTTATTAAAACAGGGCTCACATTTTATTTTAGTATTATAAAATTTCTAAGTTTGAAAAGTTTATGTTCCAAGGGCAAATATGGAATAGATGAAAGGAGTAAATGAAGGAGTAAGAGAATGTATATGGATACTTCTTGACATTTTCTTGCTTTTATGTTTTGTCATGGGCTGCATTACCTTTGTTTCAAAAATTCTGAGGATGTGTGTCTCAGTAACAATCTCTTCTACAGGTCTGTCTGTAAGAAGTGTTTGCTGGAGAGGAGACCATATACTCGTCGGGACACAAGATAGTGAAATTTTTGAAATTGTGGTGCATGAGCGTAATAAGCCTTTCCTGATAATGCAGGGCCACTGTGAAGGAGAGCTCTGGGCTTTGGCTGTCCATCCGACAAAACCCCTAGCAATGACTGGAAGCGATGATCGATCAGTCAGGTTAATTCTTGTTTGTTTGTTTAACTGCAGAGTTTTATGCAAACAGCTCGTTTTGTAGATAACCTAACTGAAATATGTATGTTTTAAAGATATTAAAATGAGGCACTGAAGTAATTCTTCACTTAAGTTATGCATGAAATTAATGCTCTTCAGTAAGAAAATGTAATGGAAGTAGATTTTTCCCCCTCAGAAAAAAATGTATACAAAATTTGAACAAATTCATTTCACCCAGTCACAGAATCAGTTAGGCTGGAAGGGACCACAGTGGGTCATCTGGTCCAACCTCCCTGCTCAAGCAGAGCCATCCTAGAGCACATGGCTCAGGGTTGTGTCCAGATGGTTCTTGGGTATCTCCAGTAGAGGACAATCCATGACCTCTCTGGGCAATCTGTTCAGTGCTCAGTGACTGCACAGGAAAGAAGTTCTTCCTTGTATTCAGGTGGAACTTCCTATGCATTAGTTTTCTTCTGTTACCTCTTGTTTTACTGGTTTCCACAAGTGAGAAGGGTCTGATCCATCATCTTGGCACTTCCCATTCACGTACTTGAATACATTAATGAAATCCCCAATACATTAATGAGGTCCCTCATGTAGACTAACACTGAGCACTCAGAGACAAGTATCCTGTAAGTGTTTGCTTTTCAGGAATTATGTTAAGCATTCAAAGGTTAAAATAAAAAAAAAAAAAAAGGCAACTAAAACTTAGACATTTTACTCTTACCATATTTGCTTTTCCACATGCTGTGAATTAACTTTTAGTTTGGGAATTTCATCAAACTTAATGCATGCATTGTAACCAGAATATAAAAACTCACTAAATTACTCCCTTTGACAAATTCATCTTTTTTTTGTCAGAAACACTTCTTCATTCTTATAAGTTAATTGTGTTGGCATTTTTACTAAATATCTGAAGTGTAACATGGTTAAGCAAATCAGTAGTTCAATTATTAATACTGAAATAATGCTCTAAAATTCAAGATTATATCTTGTCAATTACAGATGTGATGCATCTTGTAGTGAAAGCTTACAGGTTATAATATTATAAGGAGTTATTAATAATGTTAATAGGAAAGCATATTTAAACAGCTCAAAGTCTGTAATTCTTTTTCTTGGCTAAAATGATTAGCAAAATAGTGGAATTTTCACAAGAGTATCTATTGTCACATGTTATCATTTTTTAGATTCAGAAGATCAAACAAACTTATTCTACCCCTGAATTTTCTCATTAGATATTTTATTGCCTTTTAAAATACAAGAATATTCCTTGCTGTATGCAAAATTCATATTTTTCTCTCAGATTTTCCTTGTGGAAAATGATTTTAATATAGGATACCATGTCCAGAGTTCTTCAGAAATTGCAGGCTTTATCTTACGTATGACAAAGCTGCAAACCAACCCCTCCTTACCTTTGAAATAATGACTTCGTTTTAGAATTTGGAGCTTAATAGACCATGCTCTGATTGCTCGGTGCAATATGGAGGAACCGATTCGCTGTGCCGCGGTCAGTACCGACGGAATCCATCTTGCTCTTGGGATGAAGGATGGCTCTTTCACTGTGCTTCGAGTCAGGTATGCCACAAAAATTAAAGGTAGATACTTTATTAACTCTTTCAAGGAGGTTATCTAATTGCTCTTATAGATTGTGTGTATATTGACACTGTAGTGACCACACGTGGTCATTTACATATTTGTTTAAAATTACTGATCTTGAGGGTGCCCAGATTTTTGAAATGTGTGGTACATATGTTCATGCTGTTCTATAACAACCCATTTGGAAAAATATATTGGTCTGTTCTCAGAGAGTGGCAGTGTTATAGGAAATGTTCTACTTTAGGTTTTGTCTTCATTATTCTTGAATTATTAAGAAATAAATTTTCATAACTTCCTAAATTGTTTCCATGTGTTGGGATCCTGCTGTCAGCACATCATGCATACAACACCAGTGCTGCTTTGTTGCTGTGATCCCACAGTTTTAAAGGGAAAATGAGATTTGTGTCTCATGTCAGTGAATTTTCCTTCCCTGGGTGAATAAAGATCTGATATCTTCCTGATTTTTCTTTTTGTGGACCCAGTTTGAACAGTTCCTTTTGTTCACTCTCCCTCAGCCCATTGCAGCACCTTATTGTGCCACTGTTTCCTTCCTTTTTTTTGGCTATGAAACTCTACCCAACTCTAAAAATAGCAGTGTTGTGTTTGCACATAGGATAGTTAAGTTCCCTTCATAATCTCACAATCTTGTCCGGTTTTTAAAACTGGGAACTTTGACAGTATGATAAGGCTCTTCTATACTTATGACATGCTTTCTTTCATACTACAGAGATATGACTGAGGTTGTTCATATCAAAGACAGGAAAGAAGCTATTCATGAACTCAAATATTCACCAGATGGGAATTTCCTAGCTGTTGGTTCCAATGACAGCTCTGTGGATATATATGGTGTTGTTCAGCGATACAAGAAAGTTGGGGAATGTATTGGATCTTTAAGTTTCATCACGCATATGGATTGGTCTTCAGACAGTAAATACTTACAGACCAATGATGGCAATGGGAAGAGACTTTTTTATAGAATGCCAAGTAAGATTCTGAGTTTCCTTTATGATATTTGTTACTTATTACAGAAATAATATATAGTAGTTTTGTAAAAACAGCCAAATGTAAATCCTGGTTCAAAGCACAGAGTTACAGATAAAGTTTTTTGTAAGTTCATATAAGTATTTGCTATATTTGAATAAGTGCAGCATTTTGTGGCGAAGTTTAAATATTTTTATCCTTATATGTTTATTCTTCTTTCTAGTACATCTTACCATGCTAGAGAGGCTGGCTTATAATTTGTTTTACTTCTCAAAAATGAATTTTTGATCTCACATTTTTAGAAGAAGAAGAATGCAGCATTCAAATTCAATTTTGCATCAGCCTAATAGCTTTGTACTTACGCAGCTTGGATATGACATGAAATATCATTTGATTGTGCTGTATGTTTTTTCTTAAAGGTGTGGATAAATCAGTATATTCTGGCTGAGAAAAGTAATTTGGTTTTCTAGAACTATGTTTGCAGCAGAACTGAGGAATTTACCTTAAAAGAGCTTTTACAGTAAGAAACTTGTAAGACATAAAAATAATTGAAATGCAAGTGGGGTTTTTTGTTTTTCTTTTAAAATTTGGATTTGGAGTCCAGATTGGAATTTGGAAATATAATGGATTTATGTAACTATAGAGAAATTGAGTACCTGATACAAGGATGCCAGAAAGTTAGGAATTACTCACTGGAAACAAAAGAAATTCTGAACCTGTGATATGTATCTGATTCAATCATGCAACCTTCAAAATGAATAGAAGTATCAAAGTTAAATTAACTGGACACTCTGCCGATAACACAAGTTCAAATGTGTTTATTTCCATATTATATCAGAGGACTATCAAAGACTATAAGGACTATAAAATTAATATATTGCATGATACTAAACTATAGTTTTGAGATTGAAACTTTGTGAGAACTCCATTACTGTAAGAAACTAAGGGTTGCCTGGTACACGATTTGTAGGACTTAGTCATGGATATAACCAGTGTTAGTAGTCACTGTTACATGGATCAGTGACTGAAAGATATTTATGAGGTAAGTATTGTCAGAGGGTGCAGTTATCTCTCACCACAGCTGAATGATCTTCAGACAGGGCACTTGAGTTCCTTTCCAGTTTGTGGAGGGGTATATAGTAGTCAAACTTTCTTCCTTGAGTGTGGGAGTTTTGTTACTGTTGGGTTTTGTTTGTTTGTTTCGATTATTTATGTAAGTCTTCTTTTCTGATTTATTTGCCATTTTGATTTATCTTTTCTCTATGGCTGTGCTTCATTTACTCTGTTGATTGCAGTACATTTGAGTTCCCCCTTGCCCTGTCTTTCTGTTGAAAACTTACCTCTTTTGGTGCCTGAGGCTGCTCCCCCCTTCCTCCCATCCCATTTGCTCCCACTAGGCAGAATCCTAATTACAGTAAGAAAACAGGAAAAAAGCCAAACAGCCTATTTGCCTTCAAAAGGTGAGTTATTGTCCTGCTCAGGTTCTGCAGATGCGTGTTCAGTCTGACTCAGATTTTGCGTTTGTTTCCATCATTCGTGTGTTGCTCCAGCACTCTGCTTCTGGCTGTTCTGGAAGACACTGTTTATTAAATGGGCTTTTGGTCTGACTCAGTTCTTCAGCTATTACGTGGAACTTTGTGGGATTGGATCAATCTTATTATGGACAAAGCTGGTGTGAAATAATATAACAAGGATCTAAGCATAAAATTGGTGTTTTCAGTAATTTACCAGATCTAAATGAGTTCTTCAGCTTTTGCTCTAGAATCATTCAGCAACAGTTTTTTCTGAACTTTATCTTGGAATGACTACGTGTACTTTTTGATAAACATTTAAAAATAACACAGCCTCAAGCAGATACCAAGAAATAATAAAACTGTGAAGTAGTCTTGAGAAGCCCTTACTACTGATACTGCTGGACATGATAGGGAATATTAGATCAGGACAGTTTCAAAAGTCAGTTTTTAATTCTGTCTCACTTGGATTTGATTTCTAGAGAATTTTTTTAAATGTTGCATTCTTTAAAATTGCATGAGTGAACATTGAAAAATAGCTCTTTATTTTTGTCCTTAGGTGGAAAGGAAGTAACAAACAAGGAGGATCTGAAAGGCATTCAGTGGGCATCATGGACCTGTGTTTCTGGCCTTGAAGTTAATGGAATCTGGCCCAAATATTCAGATATAAATGATATAAATTCTGTGGATGCAAATTTTATTGGGCAAGTTATGGTTACAGCTGATGATTATGGAATAGTAAAGCTCTTTCGCTATCCATGTCTAAGAAAAGGTAGTACCTTTAAAATAACTTAGAAACATATTTTTGAATTTTGGTTATTCAAGAAAATTGTATTAGAAAGTGGTTTCTGAAAATTGTAAAAATGACTAATGCTTATTATTGGATGTTTAATTAGAGGTCAAAGCTAGTGAGCAGTGGTAGGTTGGGGTATTAATCAACTGTAATGCTAACAGTGTTTTATTTGTGCTTTGAATAGAACAGCTACAAGTTTTACATATATTTTACTATGTAAAACAGTTCTCTTTTTTGGTTAGAATTTTGTGAGGTGATGCAACATCTACCCTGTTACAAGGTACATATCTTTAAGTGTTTCACCTTGGGCGTGAAGTAATTTTCTTCCTTTCTCTGGATGTGTGATAGAGATTTGGGCAAGGAACTAAAAAACCCCCTAACTTTACAAAATTATTAGAGGCAACAAATAAGTGAACTAGTACTGTAATCAGAGTATGACAGTGTATGTTATTGGAAGTTTTAAAATTTTTACAGTAATTTTCTCAGAATTTTGGTAGCAATTAATTTTTTCATGCTGAGGCCTAAAGCAAGATATAGACTTTTCAAGTTTACTGTTCAGGACTGAGTGAACAGGAGAGAGGTGTATATCTTTGTAGACAAAAAAGGCTTGATAGTTTCAGAGCTGTGTGAAGACGCCAATATTTGGATCACCTCGTGTACCTGATCACTTCAAACATAATCCAGAGATGAAATGGGTTTTAATATCACCTTTTACAAAAAGAGTTGACAAAAATATGGGGGAATATCAGTCTTTAAAAACAGCAAGAAAGCCCCAAAACAACACCTAAAACTTTTCTTTAAGCACACACTGCTTAAAGACGTAATCTTAAAACCCATTCATGGAGTTGTAGCCAGCGTTAACCTGAGTGGTGTCTAAAATGGAGTTCTTCAAACAGGTCTGAAACAATGAAACCTTTCTTGTCTAAAAAAGTATCTGTCTAATGGAGTGCTGTTAGGACTTGGTTTTAGTAACTGATTGTGTAGTAAGTATGGAGCAGTTGGTGGAAATGATCACTTTATGCAGCTATGCTACTATTATCACTTCTACTACTACTAAATGTGGGAGGATATGAGTTGCTAGAAGTGCTTAGCACTGAGATTGCACAGTGGGAACCGGTGCTACAAGCACGTATATGGGGGTGTTTTCACAGACCTAAATATATGTGATTTAAATAACTGCATCTTTTCAGTGTAGAAATAATAACTTTCTAAATCTTGGTTCGTAAAAAATAAATAAAATTAATAGACTAACATTTAGAAAAATGTTAACATGTCTCATACAGCTCTTTCACATCTTCTCTTCTTGTGTTTGACTTGGCTGAGGTATTACATCCTGGAACACAAATTGAAAAATCTATCTTGAAGAGAGATTAAAATTGGTGAATATTGCAGAGAATTGATGCTATTAATTAAAGTATTACTAGTAATTATCTTTCTTAAACTACTACTTTTTATAGGGTTCCATAATATGATACAAGGACTAGAGGGAGCGGTCACAAGCTGAGACTGGGTAGATTCAGATTAGATGTTAGGAAAAATGTTTTCTTTGTTAGGGTGTTCAGGCACTAGAATAGGTTGCCCAGGGAGGTGGTGGAGTCACCATCCCTGGAAGTGTCTAAGGGATGTCTGGATATGGCACTGGAGGATACGATATAAGGGTTCCAGCAGTGACAGGTTAACGATTGGACTTGATGATTTTCAAGGTCTCCTCTAACCTTGATAATTCTATGATTCTATTTCCTGAGGTGCTTCTGAAACATTTATTTCAGTATTGAGTATTGAAAGACATTTTTATTCTTGTTATAGGAGCAAAGTTTAAAAAATATCTTGGGCACTCTGCTCACGTGACAAATGTCAGGTGGTCTCATGATCACCAGTGGGTTGTTTCCATTGGCGGAGCTGATCATTCTGTCTTTCAGTGGAAATTTGTCCCTGACCGCAAGTTGAAGGATGTTCTTCATATAGCACCCCAAGGTAAGTAACTTATTTAAAAAAACCACCAACAAAAGGGTGCGAGGAAGGGAGGCTAAAAGAAAAGTAAAGGTTTTTGGTGTAGGTATTGAAATAAGCATTCAAAATTGTCAGTCTGCGTGAAGTTCTCGTTTCTTTAAACTTTGTAGCTGCCTGAAGTACCTGATAGAGTTGCCTAATACTTGCCTGTACCCTGTATGCTCAGCCTAGCAAGAGTGTGAAAAAACCCTTCACGTCTGTGTTTTTTGTGCAAAGGAAAATTTTCAAAGTTCAGATCTTAGATATGAATTTGAGTTCTGTGCATATCATCCTTTGTGACTTTGGCAACAACTGGATGCCCAGATGTCACTGGAAAAATTGACTTCTATACTACTTTCATGAAAAATGTGAAGTGTTTAGGTGATAACTTAAGCATTATAACTGATTACTTAGTTTTATTTTTTTTTAAAGCAGAATATAGATGTTTAATGCTTGGGAAAAAGATGCAGATCATGTTTCTACCAGTGACTAATCAATTTTTCTCATGACTGAGTTTCCTAAAATCAAAAATTAACTGAGTGCCTCACTTGGAAATTCCTAAAGGAATTTAGAGAGTCGTTTGGGAAAATTATTGTATAGAGTTATCATGAAATAGGCTGTTTCACTCTTTAATTGCTAAGATCAGATGAATATGGTTCAATGTGGACCCAGCAAATAGGAAAATGAAAACCAATTCAGTGCTGACCTTGTCAGTGACAAATGTGGAAAGAAACAATAGTTCTGTTCCCCCGAAAGGGACTTACCTGGGATGCTGGTTGGTGAGCCAACAGTGTGCCCAGGTGGCCAGGAAGGCTGATGGCATTCTGGCCTGTATCAAGAACAGTGTAGCCAGTAGGACTAGGGAAGTAATCATTCCCCTGTACTCTGCATTGGTGAGGTCACACCTCGACTACTGTGTTCAGTTTTGGGCCTCTCACTTTAAAAAGAACATTGAGGTGCTGGAGCAAATCCAGAGGGCAGTGAGTCTCATCAGAGGTCTAGAACACATGTCGTGTGAGGAAAGACTGAGGGAGTTGGCTTTGTTCAGTCCTGGAAAGAGGTGGCTTAGGGGTGACCTCATTGCTCTCTACAACTACCTGATGGGGTTGTAGTGAGGTGGGGATGGTCTCCTGCCATGCCTACAGCAAGAGGGCTAAAGGAAATGGCTTTGAGCTGAGACAGGGGAGATTCAGACTGGATATTAGGAAAATCTTTCACTGTTAGGGTGGTCAGGCATGGGAATAGTTTGCCCAGTAGGTGGTGAAGTCACCATCCCTGGAGTGTTTAAGATGCTCAAGATACTTTAAAGACCTAGAGGTATTTAAAAGGCATCTGGATCTGGTTTAATGGTTCAGGGGTTACAATGGTAGTACTAGGTGGACACTTGGACTCGATGATCTCAAAAGTTTCTTCCAGCCTTGATGATTCTATGATTATCTTCAACTCCTTGACAAAGTCTCCAGAAAACCTTTAACTGCTTTGATCTTTCATGGTATGAATTATTTTTCAACTAATTATTTCATGTGACACAGATTTCTCTATTAGCTACTGCTTCCCAAGGTAAAATTTGTATGTAGTAAGTGTTAGTTGGATTCCTTGGTCTTGGACATATAGCCTTACTTCTGCCTATCTGACAGTATGTGCAACATACATCTGCTTTGTCACATGACTGACAGTTGTAGTGTTAGTGATTTTTTAAACTCTGTTATCTGCTACTTATATTGGTAGCAATATTGTTTTTCTCTGTATCACTGGTAGAAATGTTAAGTATTACAACTCCAAAGATAGTATTTATTTATTTATTGCATTATTCTAGCAACAGTTGTTACTGAGTGATGATTCTCTTTGCAATTACATTTTGAGACCTTTTAAAATCCATTTGTGTTCTAGACTGATTTCCTGTCTGGTTTCTTCATCAAAAAATGTGCAGTCAGGGCATTCTTTTCAGTTTCTGTTGGAATTAAACTGTGCTACTAGGTATAATCTGGCTTTCTCCACATGTAAAACATTAAATTTTTCAAACTTTTTCTCCATGGTCACCAAATATTTTGCCACTTTCTTCCCATATATGATTTTTTTTCTCTCCCCTAATCTACCTGGAGAATTTCTGCACACAGCAATGGCTCACTTTGAGCAATGGCTCTTTAGAGCCCTTCTCTTGTTAATTTTCTACAAGTCTTAGTTTCTACTTTATTACCTCATTCTCTTCTTTTTGCTTCTCCTGCTAACATTAATGTTGCTGAAATAATTTTAATTCATGAAAACTAACTCGCTCCATCACCACAAAAAATTGTCATACTCATGAGTTGACTTATTTCTAATGTAGCAGCAGAACTGGTCCTGTTAACCTGTCTGTGATAAGCAGTTTATGTTGCAGTGGATATGAGCATTTATTATCAAAACAGAAACATTAAGCAGTTGTTTTAAACACTTCCTGGTTTGTAATTTAGGTTGCTTCATTTTCTGTTTCTGTTTTCTTGGTGACAGAGAGTCTGGTTGATTCTAATAGTGATGAATCAGATTCAGATCAGTCTGATGTTCCAGAGCTGGACTCTGAAATTGAACAAGAGACACAAATCACCTATCGTCGACAGGTAAAGATTTTAGTTTTAATGGGAGTTGGAAAGCTACCCAGGATTCAAGTTGGTCTTTTATGAAGACTGTTGAAATCTGAAAACTGGGGAGACTAAGAGGTTATTAAAATATGATAAGTAATTAATATAAAGATATTAAGTAAGATTAATATTAACAGAGGAGAAAAAATTGACATGTATTCCTAGCATGCTCTGTTAGAGTTTTGGTTGTAATTTAAAACCAAGTGACACTGTATGATCACTGGCTCCAGGCAGTTGGAAGGTGGTTTTTTTTGGTGATGTCAGAATAACATTTTTGTGAGTGATAACCCTGGCTGAATTCTCAGAAATAATGCTTTCCTTATGAATCTTTTAATTTTGAAGTATGCTCTTTCTTAAAGGTTTACAAAGAAGATCTACCTCAACTTAAAGAGCAATGCAAAGAAAAAAGAAAAAGTGCAGCTTCTAAGAGACGTGAGCGAGCTCCAGGGAACAGTATAAGACTACATTTTGTCCATGGGTATGCAAACTAGGATTCTTTCAAATGCACAAGCAGATTGTTTGTGTTTTGTAGATTGGTGTTTATAATTTAGTAATCTGATTAAAGACTTTTAGGTCAGTTGCTTTGCAATTTACTCTTTTTATTTATTGCTGTAAAATATATTTACACTCAAGAAAGGGAAAGCTTTGATGCCAAGCTGGACTAATTCTACATGTGAATTCTGAAGGGAATTTGCACTGAAACATTAAGTGGTAATTACTGTTTGAATAGAGGTGACTAAATACAGTATTTAGTAGTCTCACCCATGCTTTTCAGTATCTGGAAAGTAGTAGTTCTCTTTGGTGTATTACTTTGGGTTTACAACAGAAATTTGGTGTAGCTGAAGATGGCTGGGTTTTGTGCTAAGTAGTGTTTCTAGCTGTGTTCTTAAAAACAAATATAAACTGTTTGTACCTAGTCTGAAACAACTTACATGTTCCTCTGTTAATTCAGGAATTAAATTCTTAATAGGTTCTGTAAGTGTGTTAAAATTCAGATCCATTCTCTTTTTGGTGCTAATTTGAGTAGCAGAATGACTTTCAGATGCATCTTTGAAATTTTGGGATTTTATCTTTAGGATTAGTTGTCTTCCATAGCTCTTGGTAAGTGAAGGATTTTTCTCAGAACAAAGATGTGGTGTTTTAAAGCAAACTGGCACTAAATGTTACTGCATTAGAATAACGATCAGAAATATAAATTCCCTTGATAGAAAGCAAAACCAAAGCCTTTATGCAATTAAGACATTGCCAATCAGGTAATATTGAGTTTTCCTTTAAAAAGATACCTGTTTGCAGGAGTACGGCTTCTTTTCAGCCATAACAAAATGCACAGGTATGTTACTGGTACTCTCTGTCCTTATAATGGCACTTAACTTTAGAAGGGCTCCACATGGAAAGCTTCATAAATCAATTGGTTAAGAATAGTTACTCATTCAGCTCAGAAATTTTGACTGTAGAAGACATAGAGTCTGAGTAATAGCTTTGAAAATAATGACAACTGGGAAGTTTGGTACAGAGCTGGGGTTTTTTTATTTCTGATGCTCCAGAATTCTCAGTTGAAGATTTTTAAATCTCTATGTAGAAAATACATTAAGGTGGGTAACTGCTGTATGTAGTCTTGAAAATTTGGCCTAAATATAAAACCAAATGATCCTGAAGATGTAGCACAAGCAAGGGCCCTGGATCTTTGGGATTATTGTTATTTCCTTCACAACAGAAGTGAAGCTTGACCAGAATATCCAGGAATGGCCAGAAGTAGAATGTCCTGTTGAGTTCTGTCTGGTTACCCAATGTGCATCAAGGAAACTAATGAAGAATCCATGCTGAACAACAGATTTTTCCCAATGTCCAGGCTGTTAACTTTAAAGTGACCCACATCCAAGTGAGTAATAGGCATATTCTCTGATTCAGGAAGTCTGCTTTGCTTCACCTTTCTTTAGCTGCAATGGAAATGTCTTGGATGTTCCTGGAAAGTGCAAGAAGTGGTGCATTTTTGAACTAGGTGAATAGGAAGCTCTTTTTCCTTCCTTTGTTTTTGAGCTTGTTGGTTTTGTGTTTTGAATTTGTCAACTGCCTTGAAAGATGAACTTTTAAAAATCTCTTCATATCCTGTAAGAAATCTTTTAAACCTCTGCTTATATCCTCTTTTGGAAGGGGATAAAAACAATAATTCTGAGTGTTTGAGCCATCCACTGACTAATACGGATGAGAAAGGAACTTCTGTTAACAGGTTCATCTTTAAGTGCATTTTTCTCTAAGAGATCTGGTGCAGTCATGATCAGAAACGTTATTAAAGTGGTGTACTAGTTTGGCCTCTTTTTGACTGTTCCTGTATTTTAATTCTGCCACATCTTTGGCAGTGGTGGTGGTTCAGGAACAGGATAAGGATACATATTTTGAGATATTAAGAGGAGCCCTGTTCTTGGACTCAATGTTTATAATGCTTCCTTTTTGCTGGCAGGAAATAAGGATGCAAATGGAATACTTATGCCTTGTATTCTCTCAGAGCTATGCTGTTCATTTCACAAGAATTATTTTTTTAAAATATTTATAGACTCATAGAATTGTTTTTTCAATATTCAAAGGATTTGAGCAAGATACAATTGGAGTTTCAGGATATTCATTGAACTAACCTTATCAGAAGATGAAATTTGATCACAGTTTCAAGGTGACATGGGAATATATTCCTAAATGAGATTCGTATGACACCTTGCATGGATTCCTACAAGTACCTACAAACAGCATCTGAATGGAATAGGCTATAAGTGGGTCCTATTGAGAAAACACTATTGCCAGGAAAACTAATTTTAAAAAAAATAAAAAATCTCTACCTTTGTACTAAAGACTCTACTCTCAATCATGTTCATTTTGACATTTAGTTCTTCTAGAGATTTTGGGGGAAGGGTTGCACTACATTTGGAAATTTCCCATATGTACTTTGGAGTAACATACAAATTCTGAAACCCTTACAGCATCCCACAAGCTATGGACATTGACTCTTTTCCCAGGGAGGACACTACTTGCAAAGGTCCCCCTTAAGTTGGCTATGGATGTGTAACTTGCAAGTGTGGGTAGGGTCCAGTTTCAGGTTATAAAATTCACAATTGTGTGCCAAAAAGTAGATGGTTTTATTTGCATATATAAACTTTTGTCACAGTGAATGGAGATCAGTCTCCACTGTAAATGCTGATGGTTGATCAGCTGAGTAGCCCTACAGGTTCCACTGACCGTATTAACTGCAACACTAGTGATTAAAATGTAGGTGTTAATGTGTCTAACAAAGATGCAAACACCTGTCTTTACATGTCTTAGTCTCAAATTGAATCCAGCCCCTGCTCTTCATGACTTTAGTAATAGCATTTTTTTTCCCTACGCAGCACTGAGGTGGCTACCATTTCTTCTCAAAGCTACTGTCATATTAATTTAAATCTGTCCTGGCTTGATTAGCTGTGGTTGAAGACCATGGCAAAACATCAACTACTGCAGAATGTAGTCTTATGTTTATTGTGCCACATTATATATTCAGTAACTACAACACAGAACTTGCTTTCACTATTATTTAGTTTCTAGTTGGTAACCAAGATACCTTGTAAATTACTTCCGTGGTTTGTTTTATGCATGTGAACAAATTATTTCTCTTCATGTTTTTTCTGAGATTAGCTAATGGTTTTGGTTCTAAATTGGCTTAAAAATACAGAGATGTAAGTATTTTGGAACTGTGTGGGATATTCTCAGGGATGATGTGCATTGAAACATGCTTCTTTTCATCTCTGCTTGAACTAAGCCTGTCACTCTCCTTTTGGTGAAAAGTATCTATAGTCAGGGCATTAGTAGACTGGCATGTAGGAAAGGCCAACTGTATTTAATTGGGTTACATAGTGTCTTTGTTGACACTGCTTGGTATCTTGGCAGAATATGTTTTAACTGTAAACAACTGATTGTACACATTTTTTAATAATGGGAAGAAATGAACTAAAATTGAAACTTTGGAACAGAAAAAGTTATAGATGTGAGTAGTAACTCTTTTCCTGCATCCTGAATACATTTGGGATGTTTTGAGTAGTCCTGTGATACATGGCATTAATGTACTCAGTTTCACTAGGTATAATTTAGGGTATATAGGCAATTGTTATGACAAGAGCGGAGAAAATTCTGAATTTCTGGGTTTCAGGTAGGAGGATCTGAGACCTTTATGCTTTCTACCTTTATCGGTGACTGTTGAGCTTGTAAAGAAATGACTCAATGTCTAGTATTTCTAAAGCAATATTTCTTTCAGCATACATATTTTCATAACTGTTTTGTAAAATATTCTCCTTTGGGTGCATATCCAGCATAGGTTGTATTGTTCTGTGCTTGCAGAGGAAGCCCAGTATGTTTAACAGAGCACAGTGCAGAGTGAAGCACAGGAAAATAATGTCTGAACAATGATAGGTTCAGATATCTTCTTTGGCACTGTGCCTACCTTTATACTTCCTGCCCCTCACTGAATGTTGTCACATCCTTAAAACAGTGATGTTACATACTGTGATAGTTTGTTATATTTTCTTTCTGCATAGTTACTGTAGGCTATTGTATATTCTGTCCCTTTATAAACTGGACATCAAAGAAGGATGCAGGCAGCACTTTGGGTGAGGCAGAAATCAGCTTCAAAACATTCACACATGTTGCTGCTAGGGGATGTTAGTGACAGATGTGGGTTGAGGGAGAGCAAAGCATGAGTGAAGAGTTTGCACCTGCGTTGAGAGTCTAACCTGTTAGTGATGTTGAGAAGAGCAGAGAGCAGATATATATCTGAGCCTCAGACGTAAAGGTTTTCTCAGATCTAAAGATTCTCTCTCTAAAGAGAGATTTTTCTAGAGACCTTGAAGGGACGCTAACTCAGGGGACACTAAAAAGTTGCTGGACTAGGACCAAAACTGCCTGTGTACCAGTTTAAATAGTGAGCTGGAAAGAGACTGTTTTAAAAGCTTTCATTTCTCTGCTGTCACAGTTTTTGCTGCTTTAAGAAGTTCACTTTGCTGGTTTGTGATCTAATGAGACCCAGCTTTGAACTTCACACTATGACAGACAACACAGAGCTCGGAGGAGTGGCTGCTAGACCAGATGGTTGTGGTGCATTCTGGAGGGACCTGGGCAGGCTAGAGAACTGGGGAGGGAGGAATTCCATGATCTTCAAACAGTTCATGAGATGCAATTTGGTGAAATGCAGTGTTCTGCTGCTGGGGATCTACTGCTCTGTTTAAAACCTTTGTGAGATGATTTTAGCAATTTTTCTTTAATGACATATGATGACATAGAGTCCACTGTCTGTAGTGTAGGTGAGCCAACAGAAATAGATTGTATTCAAGTCTGCTCCAGCCAGGTATGTGCTGTGGTGTTTTCCAGTAACGTATTGATGGAGCATTTGTGGATATGGGTCCATGGTTTTTGAAGTATTCATTATGCTAAAGTTGTTCAGCTGCCTTAAAGATACATGACTTCACCAGTGCATATCATTGCACTGTGTACACAGGGAAAGATGTATATAATGTCATGAACATTCTACCTAGACTGCATAATGAGTCTGTCTTTTAAAACTTTCAGGTGTCTCATATGCAGTAATTGTCTTAATGCTATCCCATTAATTTTGCCTATGACACTTACTGGTATGTGTAGAGATGTATCTTTGTCTTATGTGATGATTTAAAGACCTGCACTGTTGCCTAAGGATACTGCATTTGTTTTCTTCCTTAAAATAATGCAATTTGTTCTGATGGTAAATGCTTCTAATTAAGCAAATAAATCAATATAATGGGAAGTATAACATAGATGTTAGAGATTTCTGTTAATTTGCAGTCACTGATAGTGAAAGTGTAGTCATTTTGTTTGCCAAGAACGACTTGCTGAACATCTTCAGGGCTTTTTTCAACTGGTTCAATTAGAAGTTGGGTGCAAAATTACATCGGTAGAGCCTTATGATCCCTCAATGAAGGTAATTCATGGCCATTTTAAACACATTCAAGTGTCATTCCCTTCCTGTAAATTTAATTATATTTTTAGAAATGTAGTCATATTTTGCCTGCATCTTTGTAAAATCAGTAAAAAGTTGATTTAGTGAAGATCTGTAAGAACAGAAGCAGGAATAGAAAGAGGTTAGCTGAGAAAGTAGTATAGAAATGGGATGTGTCAGGAGTATATGGAGTATTGTTTACATCAGAAGAAAGAAAGGAATACATTTTTTAATTTTATCTCCTTTGACTGCCAAGGACAGTGTTGTTAAAAACCCTAATTTAAAACTTGCTTGTATTTTAGGTTTCTGAGCCTCTCAAAGTACTTCTTAAAGTAGGATCTTAGCCTTTTGGAAAATACAGCAGCATTCGATTTTTATGGGATACTGAATCTTAACCTGGGAAGAAATGTGTCTGCTGAGATAGTGTATACAGACCTCAGTCAGGAACTGGCTGTATCAGTACAGAAAGGAGACTAGTTTTCCTTCAAAAAGTAAACTCTTCTAGAAGAAAGGTTTTGCATTTGTTTTCTGTTACCAGGTTTCCAGGAACTTTCAGTTTCATGATACCTGTGTTGTCCACACTCTTGCGGAAACTTTTGCTGCCTGATTTTTGGGCAGGAAGAGATACCCAAAACTAATACTTTGAACATTTTCTATTTCATTTAACTACATGCTGCATGCCCAACCTCTCCATATGGTCTGAAAAAAATTACTAGCTGTTACTTTCTCTGCTAAACTAGCTTTGGAGAATAGCTATTAAATGACAGCTGCTTTTAAACTAATGCTAGTAGTACTGATGTCTGAATAGCAAAAGTAAATTGATGAGTGGGTGTTCCTTTGGGAAAATATGTTAAGAATCCTAAAACACCAAAGCAGTGATTGGTAAGTAATCTGAATTTTACTTGTGCAAAATGCATCTTGCATAATTTTCCCTCGGATTCAGTATATATGTTTATGACTTTGATGGACAAATGTTTTTTGCTTTAGTTACAGAGGTTACGACTGCCGAAGCAATTTATTTTACACTCAGACGGGTGAAATCGTATACCATGTTGCAGCAGTGGGAGTGGTGTACAACAGGCAGCAGAATACACAGCGCTTCTATCTGGGCCACGACGATGACATTCTTTGCCTTGCTATTCATCCCTTAAAGGACTATGTGGCAACAGGCCAGGTAGGATCCATGTTTGTCTGCAATAACAATCTGGAATAACTACTGAATTTAGCAAGGCTTATCTTGGGGGGAGAATGTCCAGTCTACATTTATTCAGGTGAAGTACTGCGTTTCCGTTGCAGATGGAATCATGGTAAAAAACTACAAAATAAGTGTTTTTTACAGTTGGCTATAATGTGCTGGGTCTTTAGTTCATAGGGTTTTTTAACCTCTTTTTATAATAGCATTATTTTTTTTATTCAGCATTACGTTGCAATTGCATGATAGGAGGTGGAGGAAATGTGCAATTAAACTATTTTTTTAGTCTTATTTGTGAAGTTAGCTATGTTACTACATTCATGTACTGTTACATAATGTGAAATTAGCAGTCATTGCAGTCTGGCATTATGTTCACATCATATGAATATCATATATTCATATGTCTGTACAGACAGACTATTCACTGCTTGTGTAGCAACACAGATATTTCTGTTGCTAAAGTTCATCTTATAATACTGATAATAATCTTATCTTTCACCAGGCAACAATTTTAGCTGTTTTCACTCACATGACATACACACATATGACATGTTTCCAGACAAACCTATCTTCCCATAAATGTTTATACACCAGTAATTGAAGATTTGATCTGATGTTTCAGGGGTTTTAAATTATTGTTGTGGGTTTTATTATTATATAATAAATTGGAGAACATGTGAACTGAATTTTTTAAGAGAAATAAACTTTTGTTTATAATGCCCTTGATTTGTGTCAAAATGTTTGCAATAAGCATGATTTCTCAGTTAGAAATTGAAGCTCTAAATATGAGAATTGATTTTATTTCATTTTGGAGCAGTAAGGGCTATGAATAAAAATGTCCCTGGATTTACAGTATTTAAAATACCTTATATTATCAACTGAAAGATACACTCTACTATATACTGGTTTATACAGACAGGTTATTACTGCTGTATAGTATGTGACCTGAAGAAACTAGGCAATGCAGTAATCAAATTCCATGTGCAACACTGGTTCAGATTTTCCTTATAGGGAATGTTCTGAAAAGCTTTGCAAATATCACATGTTAAGTTTGTGACAAAACCAGAAATAGATCCTAGTTTTCTTGAGCCCTGCCCCTGGTCTTAAACGCAGGAGACTGTTCTGGTTTTGCAACCTTTTTTTTGTGCAAAACCTTTGGAACAGCAAATAATCTGGTAAATACTGACTAAAAATTATGCTTTTGTACCTTGTTGAAAGGAATAAGCTGTATTCAATTACTTGCCAAGTTCTAGTTACCTACATTAGTGCCATTCTAGTGGAGACTTCTCCACAGGTATCAGTGCATTAGAATCTACTTGTAGACACTTGTAATGACACAAGAAGGCAACAGAAGTCACCTTGATTTCTCAGACGTAGAGCAGCTTACATACTAGCAATAAAAATAACCTTTTATATTTAGACAGGGAATGATTGATGAAGAATTGATGGAATAAATATGCCACAGGGCAATCAATGAAGGGCTTTTTTTTTCTTCACCCCCTCAAGAGGACTTTAGTTAGTGTTAATTAATGTGCCTAAGTTCTTTAGTAGGAAAAAGAGCCAGCTGGGAAGTGGTATTTCTGAAGCAGAAGGAGGATGATGTGCTGCTAGCCAGACAGCAGTAATATTTCAAAAGTTTTATCACTGTAATTTTTTTCCAATACTTTTTGGAGTATTTTTACATTATTATACTTTTAAAAATTGTGCGAAGTAACTGAGAAATGAAAAAAAGGTTCTGAATGTATTTTCAGGTTGGTCGAGATTCCTCAATACACATTTGGGATACAGAAACAATAAAGCCTCTGTCAGTATTAAAGGGCTATCACCAGTATGGTGTTTGTGCTGTGGATTTTTCAGGTAATAAGTATTTATTTATTTATTTACAGTTTTCCGTTTCAAACTAATCAGTTCTAGTGAGTTATTGGGGATTCCTTTATACTGAAGATTTTGTCTTAAAAATGTTCTCTAGTGTTCAATGGCACATGAGAGAGGTTGTCTTAAAATGGTAATTCATTAAAGAGTTCCTTTGTAGTCCTGCACATAGGAAATACAAGAACAGGTTCTGTGTTTTTTAACAGCTGAGCTGAGGACATTGGTAATTCTTTTGGTTGCATGAGGCAGGTGCACAGTTCTTGAGTGTTGGGCTTACTTGACAACTGTTTAAGCAAATTTTTGAGCAAAGTGATCAGGTGTGGAATTTTTTCTTTGTTTAAATGAAATTCTGGAAGCTATTTGGGTAGCACACTGATAAATTCAAAAGTTCAGCCATGGAGTTCTTCTGGTCCGACACCCAGTCTCTCTCCACCTTCTACTAACATGAGACTATCAGTTAAGTCTTTTGAGATTTTTACACCTTATGTATTGAATTTCTGTACCAATTATTTCCTCTGCTGCACTGGCTTCTATTCATTCTACCTTGTTTATTGGAGGTTAATGTGGAATATTGGAGGTTAATGTCAGAGCTTCTCTGAGACTTCACACTACTACTAAGTTTATTTCATAAATATCATGGTATTGCTTCAGTGCTTTCCTGTTCAGAAATGAACAGGGATTTTCAGAGTGAACAGGAAATTCTCACAAGAACAACTGTGATGATGAGTTTTGTGCAGCTATGCCAACAACTAACTGAACAAAGGATTTGATAGGAACACAGAGCATCCAAGTGCAATTTTTAGACAGGGCAACTTAAAGTCCTACACTTCATGCAAGTTGAAAAGGAAACCACTGAAGTTTAAAAGCAAACAGGATGACAAGAGGTGCCTGTATGCACATCATATGAATATTTACCTCTTTGTACATTATTCTTTGTGAAATTATAGTATTTTTAATGCAGTTTCTTATTGTTGCAACATAGTTATCTATCTACTCTCTTAATAATAAATTTGTGTTTCTAGCGGATGGGAAACGATTGGCTTCTGTTGGAATAGATGACAATCACACTGTTGTACTCTGGGATTGGAAGAAAGGAGAAAAGCTTTCAGCAGTAAGGTAGGAATTTAACTGAATTTTAAAATTTGCACCTAGATTTACTCCCAAATGGCAGTAAGCAAAATATATTCATTAAAGAGTCAGTTTTCTAATAAATTAGCAGCTTCTATCACTTAAGTGATACAGATGATAACATTAGCACAGCCATAAAACTCTCTTTGGAAGAAATAAATGAAGCTCTGATAGTCAACCAGAAGAATTATAGTGTCAGCTCAGCTGGTGAAGAAAGAAGACAGAAGACAAAGCTTATTTATGTTTATTTGATGTGTTCTGAAGTAATGTCTTTAACACTGACTCTAAGGCACTTCTCTTTGCCCTCTCAAAGATGGTGTTGTATGCTCTGTTGAGATCTTTTCCATCAGAGGTCATGTCTTTCTTGCAAGAGTAGTTTGCAGATGTTTTGCAGACTTCTCTTTCCTTTAGAGCACTTTCCTTTCCCTTTCTGAGTCCTGAGCAGCCTGATCTGACTTTGAAGTCAACTCTGCTTTGAACAAGAAATTGCACTGAATGACTTCAAAGGTTAAATATTTCACAAGTGGTTTTGTATCTGCATAGAATGTTTAATATATATTTATTAAATAGAGTTTTAATCTACAAGATAAAAATCTTATTTTGAGTATTGTTTTAGAAAACTTTGTTTTTTCTAAGATCTATTGCTTTAAATAGAGCAGTAATGAGTGGTTTTTCCCCACTCTGTCTGGATTCAGTAGGTGTAATTTAAAGGTCTTCTAGGTAGGTTTAAAAGAGATTTTTTTTTTTATCCTCTGTGGATACAATTTAAAAAGTGTCAACTTCCTTTTTATCCATTAAGGTAATTATTGCTCTTCAGTGACATTTTTTCTCATTTAATTTTTAAGCATGTGTTGAGTTTCTTATCACTGAGGAATGAAAATCCTGAATAGATGATGTAGATAAAGAAATTTCTTCCCAGTTATTTCTTAGAAGCTCAGTTAGCTTGGCTTCTCTGAAGACTCATTTGTCTGCCAGTGACCTGATATTTTTTTTTTCGGCTTTATTTAAAAAAATTTCTCCTACCTACACGAAAGAATTGATGAGAATTTTTGAGGGCAGTATTTGTATTTTGAAGATGACTGTGAGTTTGGAAAGAAACTGGTTTGTTCTTTCTGCTACTGGTTCATTTATTGGTCTGAAACAACAGAATTTAAAAGATTATTGGCACTTCTGAACAAGGAACAAAAATTAGGGATTGGAGCCTCTTCTGCATTTAAAAGGAAGAAAAAACATTTCTTTCCTCAACAGGTAGCAAACATAGTTGAAAGCTGTTTTTCAAACTATGGGACTGAAGCAAGGCATTAGTTTTTTAGAAGCATAGTAAGAAATGTAAAACACACAAGAATTTTAAATGTTTTTAGAAAAACAGAAACTTCCATTTAAAAATGTAATAGCAGCATATGTTTTATTTTAACAAAACCAAAGAAAAATCAGTGAAGAGGTGGATGAGACTGGTAGTTTGTTTTCAAAATGAGATACTTGGAAACAGCTTTACTCCTTTAAGTTTCATGATGAGCTGTCAGAGGTCTAAATGCCATATACCTAAATTTAATGCAAATATGTTTTCTTTTGCAAAGAAAATGCCTCCTAGTGCATCTTTGTGGTAACATAAATACTCATCTGCTTTGGAAACTAGGGTAATGAAAATAGAACAGGACTCAGTATGTTGGTTCTTTGGTTTTCTTCCTCCTTATAGTAAATTATTGTTAAGGATTTGAAAGTAAATGTTAGCAAGATAATTATACGTTAAGGGAAAAAACCAAACTGAAACCTATTTAAAAATATTAATAGTTATACTTTTTTTTATTATTTTGCTTTGCATTTCAGGGGAAGCAAAGATAAGATTTTTGTTGTTAAGATTAATCCTTATATGCCTGATAAATTGATTACAGTTGGAATTAAACACATGAAATTCTGGCGTAGAGCAGGTAAGGACCCTTGAGAATTTCAGCATTTTCTGTTACTTGGAGTATAACTATTGCATCTCTTACTGTGTGTTTCATGTTTTCATGGCAAATGATTTCACTGTATGTATCCCAGTTCACTTTGCCCTAGCAGTAAATGTTAATTGGCATTATGGCAATAGTGGGAATCCTTTTTAAGATCAATTTGCCATAGAGCCAGAGCTACATAAGTAGAAGCGACCCTGGATTTTCTGCTCTCTGTTTTTATATCTAATAATAGTATAGCACATGTGAAAATGTTACAGAGGTGCTTGAAAATCATAGAACAGTTTCTGGAAGAAAGACCTTTACAGCACAAATATTTTTAAAGTTATGAAAAATTCACATATAAAATTCAGACAAAGTACTTAAAGAAGGTACATGTCCCAGCTGAGACCTGTTTGCCTAGATACCTCTGTTGAACTTGACAATTCAAAGTGAAGGTAAAGCAGGTTGTTTTTTCCTCTTGAGAAATTTTGAACAGTGAAAAAGCCATTCCCTGATATTTGTGTGAACTTCATTGTTTCACACCTCGAGTCATATATAAATGCATATGTGTTGCAGAAGACTAGCTTAACTGCTAAATATGTTCTAATTATTCATGCAGAACTTATGCAGATCAACTCACATGAGCCCTGATAAAGATTAATTGTGGAGAGAAGAGTCTGTGACGAAAAGAATTACACTGGTTTTCTCAGTTCTGGCTCCAACAGAAATTAATCAAGATTGCCTGAGAGCAAGCTGTTGGAGTCTGTATAAATTATTAATTTTGACAATTGAGCTTGCTATCTAGAGAAAGAACAAAGTGTCTCGGAATATTTACTGAATGAGTTACTATAAATTCTTTAGAACGAAATCTTAACCATGATAAAAGCCTGAGATGGTGATTTTGAATAAAAAAAATAAGTTGTTTAAATTAATCAAGATTGCCTGAGAGCAAGCTGTTGGAGTCTGTATAAATTATTAATTTTGACAATTGAGCTTGCTATCTAGAGAAAGAACAAAGTGTCTCGGAATATTTACTGAATGAGTTACTATAAATTCTTTAGAACGAAATCTTAACCATGATAAAAGCCTGAGATGGTGATTTTGAATAAAAAAAATAAGTTGTTTGCTGCTT